GGGGGGCTGTTGCCTGCCCGGGCACGCCTGGGGGCCACCGGCCCACCGGCTGGGTCCTCTGTGGCTCTGGTCACCGCAGGTGGCTGCGTGGGAGTGCTCAAGTGCAGGCAGAAAGAAACTACTTGGTTCAGCGTTTCAGTTTGTGGGAGCTGGTGACCCAGAGACCGAAAAGTGACCTTGGGCCAGGCACGCGTGTCTCTTAGACCTGTTTCCTTGTTTGTAAAATGAGGGGGCGAGAGAGACGGGGATGACCTCCGCAAGACTTTCCCGGTGCAGAATGCCCTGCGGGGCAGCGTCTGGGCAGCTTTGGAGGGACTTGGAGGGCCCTGTGGTGTGAGGTGGGGCAGAGTAGCTGGCACTGCGTGGGCAGGAACGCGTGGTGGCTTCCGGCCTGGCCCCCTCCACGGACCCTCTGGCAGCCCAGGATGAGTTTGAATCTTTCTGGGTTTGGGAGATTTCTTGACCTTGCATTCACAGAAAGACTAGACGGTGTTTATTGAGGGAGGGCCTGTTATGTTCATGGCACAAACTAGACCAGCAAAGAGAAAACTTGAATTTTATTCTCAGCGTAGACAAAAATCTGGAAAATGGGCAAGTCACATCACCTGTGTGTGCCCCAGTTTTGATGTCTCTGCCTTCGCCTCACCCACCTCACAGCAGTGATGGTGGGAATGCCTGAGATATGTCTGTGATGCCGTCTGATGTCTCCCGATGACAGAGTCCCAGAATGGGGACCCTGGGCATGGCTGTGGCTGCGGACACTCACGTCGCTTTTATCTCTAACGTGTTTGCGTGGCTTATGCGGGTCACCAGCCTTAACGATTTCGTCTCCATTCGTGTTCAGACGTATGCTCTTAAGTCGCCCTTTGCTTTTCTGGGAAAGTGGCTTGTCCAGCAGGGACATACTTAGGATTTAATACACGTCGCCTACTCGTGTTGTCCTGAAGGACTTCCTTTGGCTCATGGCTTTTCAGAAATGGCTGAGGCGAAGGAGACTGTGTCACACTGAGTGAGAATCCACAAGTAGCGAAAAGCCACGTGTTCCCGGAAAGGGTTTCACAGGTGTGTGTCACACACACCCAGCAGAGTGCAAGAATGTGCTGCTGGGAAAGGTGTTAAGATAAGGGCTGGCCTTAGACCTTTTTCAAGTGACACAGTGGAGTCCTGCCTTGAGCAGGCTTCAGGATATAATTTCTGTCCACACTGCCCCTGTCTGCACATCTGCACTGGAGCGAAAGCCTCTTGGACAGAGGCCCGCCCTTCAGCTGAGTATGCAGGTGTGTCCCTCAGGACACACAGGAGGCGTTACTCCCTGGAGTTACTCCCTGGAGACCTGGGTCATACTTAGTGTAATTAAGGGCATTGTTTTGGAGAACGTTTGATGTTGAGTTATCTGATGGTGTATCTAAATTTCGCCCACGGTTTATTTAATTTTATCCTGGGACGCGTATCTATGTTGATTTACACACCTGTAAAGTGGGAGCCTCTTAGAATCTCAAGAAGCTTTACACATCTTGTCGTCCTGTGCTTTTCACACTTCTTTTTGGTTGTGACCCCACAGCAGGAAACACAATTTACATCTTGGTCGAGCCACACGTACACACCAAGGTCTATAGATCCGAAGCCAGGCGTTTCACAAAACAAGATTGTTTCCTGTGGGCTGTGTACACGGCACAGTCTGTTCTGTTTTATTTCGTATTTACATAAGAAGAAAAAGAATGCTGCTGTGAAACACCAGCTGTATGTCCCACTCATCTCTGACCCTGCTGTGTCCACCCTCCTGGGGAAGGTCACCGCACAGCCAGTCAGCGCCGGGTCCCTTGACGGCTCCTTTGGTACTTTGCCCACCTCACCATGTAGTCCTAGCTCGGTTATTCTAATGATGTAGGAGTTACCTGATTCTAAAGCCCCTCGGTGCCTTAACCACCCTCCCCCGCTGTTCTCTGTAGCTCTCCTGCTGTCACCTGGCCTGGACCATGTCCCCTTCACTATTGTACAACTCCATTCAGGCCACTGCCACGCGGCGGTACCTCCCGTCACATGTACTCATTCTTCTGTGCCGGTGTCAGACCCCCTGAGTGTCCCCAGCCTCCGTGCCTTCTTTGGGGACCTGTCTTTATTCTGACCTCCTGGTTCACCCACGGCTCATTGCTTCCCTGTCTGTGTCTGTACTTAAGTGGCCTGTCAGGTAGGTGTGCGCGTCAGCGCTGTGCGTCCCCAAGCACCCGGCCAATCCTTCCTCTCCCCCATGCGTCACTGGCCTTCTGCATGTCCCCTCTTCCTAGGCTGGGATACTCGGTCCTGCCTGGGTCCTGACTGGATTCAGAGACCCCATGGCACACGAGCAGAGTTGGACCGTGCAGGAGTGGGACCCGTGATCCAAGGGACAGGGTCAAGCTGACTTGAAAGTATAAACCTAGCGAGCAAGTAACCCAGAGAACAAGGTGAAAGGAGGGCGGAGCGCATTTCAGCTGAAACATTGCAATCTGGGAAAAACAAGAGCGAGTGGCCTTCGTGATTCCGCTTGTCACGGTGTTGACCGTCCCCACCCACAGAAACTGTTGATGTTCCCATTCGGTGCAAACACACGGAGGATAATAGGCACAGAAGCACTGGCACAGGCAGAGAAAGTGAATGTAGACAGAGCTCGATAAACAAGACAGTCGGTGCCCAGGGGCAGAAGGCAGGTCAGAGACTTGCCATTTCCTCCACTCATTCCTTCATGCGACCAACAAACCACTAGCCATCAGACACACAGGGATCGATTCTGTGCTGGTACCAGACGTAGCAGGTAGGCTCCCTGCAGTGTTATGAGTCCCAAACTGTGTCTTTCTGTTGTGAAAGGGCTGGTTAGATTTTAGAGGAATGCTGAGGATGTGCCCATGTGTTGCTATGTCTCCACTTTTGTCTCGGTGGCTCACAGGCTGTGTGATGGGAAAACCCACCGTGACGGGAAGGCCGTAGTGGTACCTTCAGGTAGAGGGGTCCTTGAAAAGCACCTGCTGCTGGCTGGGAGTGGGGTCTGTGGTTGTGGCTCTCCGGATGGGTGTCTCCTGGGAGTAGCGAGCAGTTGCTTTCCTGGGCACGGGGACGTTAATGACCTCACATCTGTGCCGTGTTCTCAGAGGGCTACTGCCGTGCCATTAGGGGGGCCTGCTCAGGATTTCCACCTGACTGAGGAGAACGTGCTATGAATAGTGTTTGGCATACAGTGAAAGCTCAGTGATCTTTCTGGAAAAAACATAGAATATCGGCTTGCGATGCTCGGCAGCCAGTGTGAGAAGAGCCCGCCAGGAAGAGCAGACCTGTTGGAACTGAAGGAGGTGAAGTGTGTTGGGGGTGCTCTCAGAGCCTCTTCTTTGGTGTCCCCTGTCCCTTCCT